AAAGATGATCTTGTTCAAACAGAAACATTCTGAGAGAACTTTACAGGGTGAATGTTGAAGAGGAGGTTTCTACTTGTGGGAGAGTTCTGGGAAGCATAAGAGGCCCCCATTAGGACGCGAGGAGATTTCTTTTCTCAGAGGATGATAAGTCTGTGGAATTCTCTTCCTCAGAGAACACTAATATAGGGTCATTGACTATTTTTAAATACTCCTTCTGCTGTTCCTAATTCTTAAACCCCTTGGTATTGATCATTCTCCTAAGAACTACAAAAGGGAAAGGAGGTGGCAATTGAAACATTCGCCTCCTATTTAGGGTGTGCAGGGGTCAAAGGATCAGTTACTACAATTGTGGAACTGAATTAAATCACTGGTGATCATTTTTGATCCAAAGCAGATATAATTGAAACTAAAACAGAGTATGCTGGAAAAATTCAGCAGCTCTGGTAGCATCTATGAAGAGAGAAACAAGAGTTACTGTTTTGAATCTAGTATGACTGCTTTCAGAGCAGAGATAGCTGAGTTGTATTTACATTTTCATACCCAAATGGTGTATTTCATGTGTTGAGGATTTGTAGATTTACTTCCATTAACCTTCGTCCAATAATCACATTTATTCACTAATTCCTAGTAAAACTTTGAAATTTAACTTTGCGAACATATTAGCAATAACCTTTGCAATTCCATGCTTAAATCTTCTTTTATTTTTACAGTCCTGCTGTTATAATGTTGAGTATCAAATCAGCAAAGTGTAAGGTAGAGAGTGTGTTCACTGTGTCTCTGTCAAGCCTCACAACTAAGTTAACTGTGTTCTCAAATTTTCTGGTAATAGAGGGTTAAACAGTCAGGAACAGGCATGGGGCCAATCAGACATTGAGGTGTATTTTTCAAAAAATGTCCTTTCTGCATAAAATGTGTTAAGGGGAGTTACAGTGTAATTCACACCTGGCTGTTCACATGATATCAGAGAGAGCATTTTGGGTAAATGTAGCACATGACACTGTCGAGTGCTTCACTGTTCTTACAATGAAGATTCTATGAACTTCTGCACAGCCACAGGTCGTTGTCTTCAATCATAGGGCACTAAGGAGTTTGGAACTTACCACTTGCACTGTGTGCATTATGAGAAATGTATGGTGTAAATGAACAGTTCAAAATGTATCAAGGCATCTCGCAGTAGAGCATATTGTATGGAGAATATTTTAATGAGCTAGTTGACAATCCTCAGTCAAAGACAACTTTGTGCACTGGAATATTTCAGGCAGAATAAAGACAATCTTTCACTGGGTTAATGGTTCTCCAATGCAGTTGAAGTTTGGCTACGTGTGTGTCTCAGGGAACAGCCCATAGTGCTCAGAGTCCTTGGCATGGAGCTACTTGGAATGAACCTCAACAAAAAAACCAATGCATCTCTTTCTAGATCTTCTTTGCAAAGGTACATCCCATGAGGAGGTGCACAACAGTCTCCTCCTCACCACAGACCCCTCAAGGATGATATGCAAATGAGTGATACACTGGGCATGTAAAGTTGCCACAGCCTCAAAGGACCAATGGACTGCTCTCCCATTAGAGAAAGAGAACCTCAGGTGAGGGAATAGGTCAAGATGGTGGGATCTTCGAGGTGACTTCAGTCACTGTGGGAATGTGGGCATATAGGAAGGATTGAATGGGAAGGGAATACCTCACCACTAAACAAGTAACGTCTTGGTGCTTATGTCAGAGTTCCAACAATGGGGCATTCTGCCAAAGGGGTTTACAGTCTGTTCAGAGAACTCCCAACAGGATCAACCTTCTTCTTTTCCCAAATGGCCTCAAGGACAGCATAGTAGGTATGACAGCCCATGTTAGTTGTAGTCAATCTGGCTGTATGGCTTAGCAGTACAGTCAGTCTGGTTGTGCATAACTTACTGTACCATAAGTCTGGCTGTGAGAGTTAAGTGTACAGTCATTCTGACTGTGTAGATTACCTGTACAGTGGTCTGGCTGTCCAGATTAACTGGTTGGTCAGGAACCCGCACTGTAGGTGTGGTTGTGCAGGATGTCTCACTGCAATTCTGGCTGTGCAGGATTTCTGTACGGTAAGATAAGCAGTGCAGGATACCTGTACTGTTACTCTAGCTGTGCAGGGTATCTGTACTGTAACTGGCTCTGTGGGATATCTGCATTGTACTTCTGACTTTGCAGTGTATCCATACCATAAATCTGACTGTGCAGGATATTTCCATTGTAGCTCTAGCTCTGGAGAATATCTGCACTGTAACTCTGAATGTGTAGCACATCTGTACTGTCACTCTGATAGTGCAGGATATGTGTACTGTAACTCTGTGCAGCATATCTGTACGGTAAGTCTGACAGTGCAGCATGTCTGTACTGTAACTCTCCATTTATATCTGCATTGTAGCTCTGGCTGTGCAGAATCTCTGCACTATAACTCTGTCTGTATACTGTATATTTACTGTACTTTGACAGTGCAGGATATGTGTACTGTACTCTGGCAGTGCAGGGTATCTGTACTGTAACTCTGATAGTGTAAGAAAGCCTGGTTCGGCCACATCTGGAGTATTGTGTCCAGTTCTGGTCACCTCATTACAGGAAAGATGTGGAAGTGTTAGAAAAGGTGCAGAGGAGATTTACCAGGATGTTGCCTGGAATGGAGGGAAGGTCTTACGAGGAAAGGTTGAGAGAGCTAGGGCAAATCTCTTTAGAACGACGAAGGATTAGAGGTGACTTGATAGAGGTGTACAAAATGATCAGAGGTATAGATAGAGTAGACAGCCAGAGACTTTTTCCTAGGGTGGAGGTTGCTTTTATGAGGCGACATAGTTTTAAAGTGAAAGGAGGTAGATATCGGGGAGACGTCAGAGGTAGGTTCTTTACTCAGAGAGTGGTAGGGGCATGGAATGCATTGCCAGAGAGGGTAGTGGAGTTGGCCTCATTAGGGGCATTTAAGCGGCTATTAGATAGGCATATGGATGATAGTATAAGGTAGCGGTGGAGGTTAGATAGACCTTAGGTTTAGGGTAAAAGTTCGGCACAACATCGTGGGCCAAAGGGCCTGTACTGTGCTGTACTGTTCTATGATCTATGTTAAATCTGTACTGTACTGTAATTCTCGCTGTTCATGATATAAGCATTATAACTCTGACAGTGTGGTGTATGTATACTGTAATTCTGGCTGTGAAGCATACCTGTATTGTAACTATGACTGTGCAGGATACTTGTACTGTAATTCTGTGAAGGATACCTGTAGAGTAACTCTGGTTGTGCAGGATACCTGTACTGTAGCTCTGATTGTGCAGGGTACCTGTAACTGTAACTCTGACAATGCAGGATATCTGTTCTGTAACTCTGACAATGCAGGATACCTGGAATGTAACTCTGACAGTGCAGGATACCTGTATTGTAACTCTGGCTGTGTAGGGTATCTGTACTGTAGCTCTGGGTGTGTACAATACCTGTACTATCGCTCTGACAGTGCAGAGTGTCTGTACTGTAACTCTGACTGTACAGGGTACCTATACTGTGACTCTGACAGTGCAGGATACCTGTACTGTAATTCTGGCTGTGCAGGGTATCTGTACTGTAACCCTGACATTGCAGGATATCTGTACTATAGCTCTTTATGTGTAGGATACTTGTACTATAGCTCTGATAGTGCAGGGTATCTATTCTGTAACTCTGACAGTGTAGGATACCTGTACTCTAGCTCTGATAGTGTAGGATACCTGTACTATAGCTCTGACAGTGCAGGATACCTGTACTAAAGCTCCGACAGTGCAAGGTATCTGTCCTGTAACTCTGACACTGTAGGATACCTGTACTATAGTTCTGACAGTATAGGATACCTATAATATAGCTCTGACAGTGCAGGATATCTGTCCTGTAACTCTGTGCAGGAAATCTGCAGAGTACGTTTGACTGGGAAGAAGATTTGCACTTTAGGTCTGGCTGTGCGGCATAACCCTCGGTATGATAGAATAATAATCTGTGGTCAGAGAAGAGAAAGTACCAAATGAAGAGGAGACACGGGACATAAACACTCAGCCTTTTGTTCTGATTCCAGAGACGGCGGTCGCATCAAACGAGCGTGTGGTAGGCACAAGTTGTCACCTCCCTGTGACTTTCAGCTTCGACAACGCTGCAAGATTCTGTGATCAGGAGCCAAGAACCGATTATTCCCTGAGGCTTGTTCCAGCGGCTTAATATTTATCCATGGCCGAACGTTCGTACACGTTTGAGAACGTTCCTTATCAGAATGGTAATATAGATTTCACGCACAACAACCTACCAGAGCATTGTACAAGCTCATCATCGAATCAACTCAAACAAACTTTCCTCTTTAAATCTGTAAACGGAAAGATCGATCCAAAATCACATCGCACCCTATTCTGCTCAGCATGTTAGCGGGCCACTTTAACCAAATCATTAAATGGATAGATAGATAGATAGATATACAGAGCATGTGCGAAACTCGCTTTCAACTTTGAGTCTTTGATCAGCCGACATCTCCCACACAGCATTGAAGTGGAGCTGAGAAAGTGAGGTGCAGCGCGGAGTCTGGAGATTGAAGTATTTCCCACCCTGACACCTGGGTCTGTAAAGTGTACTGGGAATCAAGGCTGCATTCCAAACCTTTCAACACTGTAACGTTAATCCAATTATTTGCGTACATCCCTGAACAATTTTACGTCAGTGAAATAAGTGACTTCATGTTGCTATTTACAAAATTTACCGTAGTTTCTTAATCCACCCGAGGAATGAGGAATTGTTTGTTTTGTAATTAAAAAAAAACTTTTTAAAGGATTGAATTAATTAAAATCTTAATCTTGTAAACTCTAAATAGATGGAACATTCTTCGTTAAACATGTGTAGAGTTTGGTAATTACGGTATAATGTGGTCTGCAATCCACACCTTTTTTTTCAAAGATTTCGATTGGAGAGTGGAACAGAGATTTAGTGACGCTACAGTTTGCATTTCAGTGTTACAATCTTTTCCTTCACAGCTCTGCGGGAGCCCCCTGGAAGCAAATGTATGGAGATGGGAATAGCGGTGGGGAGAAGGATGGGGGAGGTGGCAAGCATCAAATGAAGCCCGACCGGTCCCCCCAAGCTCACGTGGCTCAGAGCCTCCCCTATAAATACAGGCAGCCCTCGCTCTCCCTTCACTTTTAACCCCGGCGTGGACTAGTTCAATGATGAAGATGGCCGCAGAATCGTCTGATGTCCGAGAGGTTAAAAAGGTAAAAGTAGTTTGACTATGGACCATACGAAATTTTCTGTACATGAGCCTGTTTATTAAAAGCTGCATTAACAAGGATACAGTCATTACATTGATACTGAGATGTTATTTAAGTTATTGCAAAAGAGAACTGAGAGGGAGTCGGGATGTTTCCCTCGATTCGAGCAAGTTCCTCCGCCAACCCCCTCCTGCCCCCCCTCCCCGGACTCAGCAACAGCCCCCAGCTCCCCAGCTGGCGCGGGGAAACTGGATGCAAACTGTCCTCACATCGATATAAAAGAAATCCATTTTCATTCTATACCAACAGTTACTTAAACCTTTAGTGGAAAAACGGAGACGCGATCGAATGAACCGCAGTTTGGATCAACTGAAATCTTTCCTCTTGAAACATTATCAAAACGAGGTGAGGGAACCTTTTTGTCACAAAGCGGCCACATTGAAGGAGCCTATCCGCGGCCTCGTGAGAGATTTCCCAGGAATAGTTTGAGGTGTGGCGCTGCTATCAAAGATACGTTGATATCTCTTGCATGTCCTTCCACTTTTACCCAGGTTTCGTTTCTCTTTCCTCCCCCCTGTCTCTGTCTCTTTCTGTTTAGAGTTTCCGAAACGGTAAAATGGAGAAGGCAGAAATCTTAGAAATGACGGTGCAATATCTGAAAAACGCAGCTCTAGCCAATGGACCGGGTGGGTATTTACCTTGCTGCCCTCCCTGTTATTTTTAAAATTCCAGCCGATGTGCGTCATTACTGTCCCGTCCCATCCGCGGACCTCACTTTTAACACAGTTTGCGTTCAGTAAAATCGATATCTGACTGTGCATAGATCGGTCATTGATACTTGCTGTTTGGTAATCGATACCGGCTGCTCTAGCCGTTGTGATTCCTCCTGACTTTATTTCGCTAATTTCTGTTCTCAAATAAAGCTGAAAAATCCAGAGCACATAATCCACAGACCAGTTTCACGCTCGGGACTTGCACCTGGAGCTCGGAATTGATCCTTTACTGAGATCCTATTTGTTGGGAGATCGAAGGAATCGGTTGCAGATTAGTGTTTCACTTAACCATATTAACAAGGGGCGTTCGCCAATGTAAATGTATTAACTTCTAGTTCCCAAGTGTACAAGGTGAATATTTGGATCGTGCGTTCAGTACAGTCCTCAAGGGGACTATTGAGGAATGTCCCCATACACATGCTATCGCGTATTGCTGTAAAGCCTTTGTGTATCATTGACCGATCTTGTGTTTAAACAGAACATCAGGGAGCAGAAATCACACGGCAGAACTACGAGGCTGGCTTTAAGGAGTGCCTCCTGCAGGTGAATAGCTTCGTCCGAAGCTGCGCCAGGTTCAACTCGCAGTCCCGCAGCGGTCTGATGGAGCGGCTAGCGGTCTTCCTGGACCGAGCAACCGAGAAGAACAGCAGCCGCCGAGTGCCGGAATGTGCGAGTCCCTCCGGCTCCACTTTGGAGCCTCTTCAACCGGGACAGCGGGACTCCGTGGCCTGGGATGTCGGCCCCGCCGCCTCCAAAGCCGTGAGGCCGATGGCTGTTATCCCCGCAGTCGCCAGTAACCTTCCTGCGCACAGTGTATCGCATCTCCTCGCCGCTCGGTCCCCGCCCTCGCACCGGATGCCAGTTCCGACCGACTTCACAGTGAAATATCATGAACTTCGTGACTCCAGCTCCGCACCGTTTCCGGAGTTCCCCAGGAATGGTATTGTGTCACCAAAGCCACTCCCTAGCCACCAGGATTCCTCCAGAGGGACTGTTTCACACAATGTTTGGAGACCGTGGCCTTAGGTCGGTGGGAGAAGGACCTTTTTTTTTGCTTTTGACATTGTTCCATTTCCCTTCCTCTTGTAAATCACCAAATCCTGCGCTTTATCCAAATAAAATCCTATCCTATTTTAAGATGAGAGTTTTGATTAGTTTAAATTTTCTTTATTATTTCTCGTTTATTCCATAAGTTTCGCTTTTCATTTGTGTATATTTTGGATTAAAGATTTTAACAAGATCTTTATTTGCGTCGTTCTGTTTTAGTTAAAACAACTGAATGATAACGTGTTCTTGAAGGACCCAGAACTTCACCATCCACACCCTTTCCCCACCCCGTTCAGTCCCGCACAGGAAATCTACAGGGAGCCCTGACCTGTTTTTGGCCGGAGATACTATCTCCACCCGTGGAACAGCTGTCTGCACTTTTAAAACTCCTACCTGATAGCTATACCTACCTGACACAGCTCTGGAGCAGGTGAGACTTCAATTAACACCTCTTGGCACAGAGCCGCTCCATGTATTATGTGGTCGAGGGCCGGCGCATTGCTGACAGCGTGTGCTGAAGAAGGGTCCCGACCCGAAACGTTAGCTTTCCTGCTCCTCTGCTGCCTGGCTTGCTGTGTTCCTCCAGCTCCCACACTGTGTTATCACATATTATGTTCCGTCTCTGGATTACTAGCCCAGGGATATTCCCATTATTCCATCCAGCCCCCTCTTCCTGTGGACGTGCAGTTATTCAACCTTTTCCTTCCCCCCCACCCACCCCCCTCCCCATTCAAGAATTTAACAAATTCGCCTTCTGAAAATTCCTGTTCAATCTTCTCCCTCCACCCACTCCTTCCAGGTCACAACAAGCCATTTCATCCAAAACCTTCTACTGCCTTTTCCCCCTACCGTTCACTTTCGGATGCTTTTGATGTATCCCACTCTGGTTATGAATGACAATTTTACCCAATGCAGTTTCTCCCCAGTGACTCTATCAACCCCACCATCATTTACACGCATCGATTAAACCGTTGCTCAAAGGCGAACAATCCCAGACCCTACAGTGTCTCTCCATAAAAGTCGGGGAAAAAAACTACGGATGCTATATATCAGAAGTTGCTGGAAAACCTCAGCAGGTCTGGGAACATGTGTGAAGAGAAATCAGAGTTAACGTTTCGGGTCCGGTGACCCTTCCTCAGTTGGTCTGGGTGGTCAAAGTCGGAAGTCACACGACACCAGATTATAGTCCAACAGGTTTATTTTAAATCACAAGCTTTCGAAGCGCAGCCCCTTCCTCAGCTGAAGTTCACTTAAGTAAATTTGTCAGAACTTCTCATTCTTCTCCCTGTCAGTGTTTAGAGGTCCAACCTGATCATCCTTTCCTGCTAACACAACTCTGTCATGCCAGTAATCAGCAGAGTGAACCTTCGCTGGCCCGCTCCAATAAAATTATACCTTTCCTTGAGAAAGGAGACCGGATCTATACACAGTACTCCAGATGCAGTCTCGCTCAACCTCTTTAAGGATGTGGGAGCATTTCCCCACTTTCTACTTCCATTACTCTTGCAATGAATACTATCGAACCTTTCGCCTCAGTAATAATAGGCTGTACCTGTATACTAGATAGAAACTTGATTGTGAGGGGAAATTGCGTATGGAAAGGGTATGGAATGAGCTGCCAGCGGAAGTGGATGAGGCGGATACATTAATAACATTTAAAAGGCATTTGGACGAATATATGGATAGGAAAGGTTTAGAAGGATATGGGCCGTGTGCAGGGAAATGGGGTTAGCGTGGATGGACATTTTAGTCGGCGGGGACCTGTTTGGGCCGAAGGGCCTGTAGGACTCTACGATATTTGCTATGCTCATTTAAGAGGGATATAAGTTTGTTTTCTCAGACGGTATGTGGAATTTCCTTGCCCAGAAGACAGTGGGAGCAGAACCTTTAAATATTTTTTAAGGCAGACATCGATTTTTGATAAGCAAGGGGGGAGTATTCACTATTCACATTAACCATGATATTATGGTGGAGCAGGCTTGAGGGGCCGGCTCCGGCTCGGCGTGATTCTCTAACCCTGCAGGAAGGAAGGTTCTGAGCTTGAATAACAGTCCAAGGAAGGGGAGGGGACAGGCCGTAGAGCAGTTCCAATATCAAAGGGGAGACTTTTGAGAACCTGAGAGAGTCGAAACGGCTCAGTAAGATCCAGGCGAGCGGAAGCAGAGAAGAGGGTATCTGGGTGAGCTATAGACGTTCGGCTCCTTAGAATTTGAGAAATTGTGTGTCTGGAGATAACAACTGCGTCGCCTGCGTTCTGCAAGATGTGGATGATGCTCCAGGGGTGAAAGCTATTGCATGAAAGCATTTATGTTGGAGTTTTCACGAGTCGCCTTGTACTAGAGAAGATGAAATGGAGTCATAGATCGCTAACAGAGGTGAGAGAGCTTAGCCGCTGTTTGAACAAGGATCTGGGCTCAGCGATCTCCGCAGATCCTGGAAGAATTGGCGCCCTTCCCCAGTTTGGTCTTCTGGGTGTATCCCTGTGCATTAAACCTTTTCCCGTTCCACACTTCTTGTGCATTGTCACGAGTTGGTGTTCAGCCATCAGAGCTAGAGCAATTTCCTCAAGTGTCACTCAGTCGCCAGCATTACTCATCTCTCCCTTTTACAGATTAAAAGCTTTTGTGGGGGACACCATTACATCCCAATCCGAAACAAATAAAATTGTCTGGAAAGTTTATTTCAACGGTGTGCGTTTTATATTCATTCAGAAGAATCGCTGCTGAACTATTGACACGACAAGGAACGACGTTGTTGTGCGAGAGGAAAGCAACCATCCCCCGTCTCTTATCAAATTAAATGTAATATTCAGATGACAAGGAAGGGTTACACATTTCAGGGATTAGGAGTTTGGTCATTTTTCTCCTGGTCATGATTGGAGGTTTTGCAACAGTCTATCTTAAAAGGTGACGCGACGAGGATGGGATTCGAACCCACGCGTGCAGAGCACAATGGATTAGCAGTCCATCGCCTTAACCACTCGGCCACCTCGTCCGCGACGAAGTAACCCGCCAACCACAGGATACTGAGATAACAAGGTGTAGAGCTGGATGAACACAGCAGGGATACTGATTGCATTCTGTTTCTTCTGTTATACACAGCTGTTAGAATACCTTTACTTTTTGTTAAGCAAATGTTTTATTAGCATTTGCAAATTATCTTAAATATTTGTACTCCTACCTTTAAGTTTTCAGAGATGTTACTGAAGTCCGTCGACTGAGGAGCATCATTTTCGTGAGGAGATCGGAGAAAGGAGTCTTGACGAGCAGAAATAATGAGGGAGCAGGAAAAGTGAAACTTGTCATGCAAGACCAGAAGAATGGAAATTGAAGAATCACAGAATTGTTACAGCGCGAAAGGAAGCCATTCGGTCCATCCTGTTTGCACTGGCTTCTCCGATTGAGCACTCCGTTTAGAGTCGACCTCCCCACCACCACTCCCACACCGTAACTTTGCACATTCCTCCTCTTCCAATAACTGTCGATTGAAACTGCCCTGCACCGTCTCACGGAGCACATTCCACACCCGAACCATTCCCTGCGTGAAAGAAAAATCTTTTAAAAATCACTTATTTATTTTACTAATTTCAATCTCTTTGTGTTCTTGTTCTGGATCCTTTTTACCAGTGAAAACAGTTTCTCCCTGTCTACTCTGTCTAGACCCCTCCTTATTTTGAAAACTTCTGTCAAATCTATTCTCAGCCTTCTCCCCTCTGAGAAATGAATATTTTCTGTACTCTCTCTAATGCTTTTACATCCTACCGCAAGTGTGGCGTGGAGCTGAATGCAACCCTCCAACTGAAACCCAATAATCTCTTAAACAAATTCAAGATCCCTTACTCTTGTACTTTATCTTTTTTTATTTAATGAAGCTCGCTATTAGTATCGTATCCTTTACCAATAGCTCTGTTGGTTTTAAAAACTTACGCCCATTCCAAATCATACAATGACTACCGTTTTGAACAGGGTCATTGAGCCATTATAAGGGTTCCCTCCTTTACCACCATTTCAGGCCACAAGTTCCAGATGCATACTGCCCTCTGGGTGAAGGATATACCACTTTCTATTCCCTCTAATCATTTTTATCAATCACTTTAAACCTATGCCATGCTGAGGTAAATGCACCCTGCCCATCCATTCTATCCATGTCCTCCCCCCCAACAACCTTATACCTCCCAATCAAATCTCCCCTCTCTTTCAAAGAAAACACCCCAGCCTTTCCAATCTTTCCTCATTGCTGCATTTTTCTTGTCCTAGCAACACCCTTGCAAATCTCTTCTGTGCCCTATTAGGAGTGATGATCTCCTCTAAATAATGAGATAACCAGAACTGCATACAATATTCAAGTTGTGGCGTAAATAGCCTTTATACAGCCCAGCATCAGCTACCTGCTTTTATATATCCCAAACCTCAGCAAAGTAAATAAAGTATTCTATGTATAACAAGGTGTGGAGCTGGATGAACACAGCAGGCCAGGCAGCATCAGAGGAGGAGGAAAGCTGATCGTTTCTGGTCTGGACCCTTCTTCAGAAATGGGGGAGGGGAAGGGGGCTCTGAAATAAATAGGGAGGGGGGAGGCAATGATAGAAGGTGGATAGTGGAGCAGGTAGGTGGAGAGAAGACGGACAGATCAAGGAGGCGGGGATGAAGCCACTACAGGTGAGTGTAGGCAGGGAGTTGGGGTGGGGGTTGGTCAGTGAGGTGGGAGGAGCGGATAGGTGGGAAAAAAGAATGACAGATCAAGGAGGCAGGGACGAGGGGGGAGCTGGTCTTGGGATGAGGTCAGGGGTGGGGGGATTTTGAAGCTTGTGAAGTCCACATTGATACCATTGGGCTGCAGGATTCCCAAGCAGAATATGAGGTGCTGTTCCTCCAGCCTTTGGGTGGTAACATTGTGGCACTGGAGGAGGCCCAGGATGGACATATCATCCAAGGAGTGGGAGGGGGAGTTGAAGTGGTTCACGACTGGGAGGTGTTGTCGTTTGTCACGAACTGAACATAGGTGCTCCACAGAGCGATCTCTGAGCCTCCGTTTGGTTTAGGCGGGAATGAAGCAAGTACAGGCCTCCTTGACCTGTCTGTCTTCTCTCC